TCTTTGTAAGTTTATTATTGAGAATTTCCTTTAAATGAAATAATTTTTCGTAAATGCTCTCAACATTCGACGCAACGATCACAGTCCGACATACGTATTTTAAATTTGAGCGCTGAACAAAGGAAAAACCAACTTATTTGTCGGTTGAATGTATGAACACTTGTGCTGGTGTTGCCCTGGTCGGAGGTCGACCAGCTCAGGTCTAAGCCCGGTCGGATTATGCGGCTCAGGCCCTGATTTACCTCCGCGAAATTTGTTTGGCTGCGACTAATTCGCGCTAGATGAGCCCTGAAATACGCAGCTATCGTCTCTGTTCCTGCCGTCTTTTCACGCTCCAATCTTTAACCTTGTATTCTTGTTCTATTTAATTGGTATTTAAACCATCCGCATCGCACATAGCGAATCCAGTGTTGAAAAAAAGTCGTTTAAATGTAGACCTATCGCTGTGTACGTTGATTATTGTCGCGTGTGTACAAGGTGCAAGTGTGAGAATGTTTGAAGCAGTCAGCCGCTATTGCTGTTTAAGCGGTAAAGATTGTTCATTACTGGGTATGCTGTGCGTTTTGGTGTTTATTTATATGATTATTATATGATGATATTATCGTTACTTATTTATGGCGTGAAAAATCACCGTTGGTACCATTGTCAATGGCGCTTTTCGTAATGTAGATATTTACAGTTTTAATTTAGTTGTGTTTTTAGTCCTGAAGTCTCAACGCAAGCATTCTTAGCTACGACTCGCACTTTAAAGATTTCGACTTATTGCTGAGAGATAACGATTTAGCTCGAACGTTCGCCAAATGCTTATGATATAATTACTAGTACGACTCATGCCTAACGATTACGATATGAGTACTTCTCTACGACTATCCACCTAACGACTACGACATAACTACCACTGACGCTACATTAGTTGAAATACTAAAATACGACTGCTGTTGCAGACTTCTTTTGCACTTATTAACAATGCAAGATGTAAATTGTTGATAAGTTGCGTGCATCTGTTTAATGCACATCAATGCCTTGACGTGATTTCATTGCATTTTACCCCATTTCCCTTTCACAAAGTAATTTATTTTTCGACTCTGCTACGTTGATTCCTCATAAATGCACGCGTCACGCTAAGAGAAATGATTTATTTTCTGAGCGATGCAAATGCTTACGAAGGAAACCAGAAGTTTCGTCATGATTCTGAAAGATTATAACCGCATATCTGAGAGAATTTCAGCTTCTAAAATTGACTGATTTATGCCGTTCCGCTCTTGACGATTGCGTTGCGTTGCGTTCACTTGCGTTGCGTTCCCTGCACTTGCGTTGCGTTCACGGAATTGATTCATGGTTGTAGGTCATTGATTCATGGTTGCAGGTTACTGAAGGTGGTTTTCAAAGCACTTAGCTGCACGGGAAGCGAGTCAGGAAGCGCTGTACTGGAGACGCGCGTTCTTGGCTGGCGTTACTTCAATAGCGCGTTTGATTTATGACAGCCGCTGTGACCTGCAGCTCCAGACGCGCGCGTGTGCCGCCTACCCAGTGAAAATTTACAGACGCGTCAGCTTCTGATTTGGATTACCAGAAGCTGGGGCGACTCTAAATTTTGTTAGGGTAGGAGTTCTTCCCAGTGAAAATTTACAGACGCGGCAGCTTCTGATTTGGATTACCAGAAGCTGGGGCGACTCTAAATTTTGTGCCGCCTAAGTGCATCGCGCAATTTTATTGAGAATTGAACTCTTCTTCATCTCGTAGGCTCTTACGATCGATTGCTATGAAGAAAGTATCCTTATTTTTATAGTATCGTATAGTATATCTTTAGTATATCTTAGCTTTATAGTATTATAAGAAAGTAACCTATGTTACAATAATTGCTATAAAGAAAGTAGCCTTATCTTTATAGTATCTTTAGTATATCTTATCTTTATAGTATAGTATAATACTTTATAGTATTATAAGAAATTATCCTATGTTACAATAATTGCTATAAAGAAAAGTATACTTATATCAATGTTTATTTATTGATTCTATTATTTTTGAAGGAGTTTGTTGAAGTATGCATGTATATTCTAATTTAGTTTAGTGTCACTTCACTCACTTGTATGTTTACACGCAGTATTTTTAGCTTCTGTATTGTCAGTTCAAGAACTCGTTTCAATGAGACAAGCCTTTGCTTATTTCCAATCTTCAAAACCTTGCAATTCCGTTGCCAATTTATCTTGTTGTTTTGTATTATTTTGTTTTGACTTTGTATTCATTGTTCAGTGTTGATTCCATGTCCTTGTTATCGTATACTTTTTATTCGACTTTTCATTCAATCATAGCAGACTTCTTTATTTCTATATTAATTCATGTTATCATGTCAGGTTCGCTTTATTTCCATATAATTCAGCAAAAACAATCTGTAATATTAATTTTAAAAATTACAGCCTCGATCAACTGGAGTTTACATGAAATCCCAACTGCTTTATTTTTCGATCACTGCGGACGTATTTAGGAATTATGTACAATACGGTATTATCTCCCTTGATTCATTCATTTATTTGTCAATCAAAATATACGGAGATATACTGGAGATGTTAATAAGCTTACATAATCTTAATAATTTCCTGCCATAGTATTAATAATCATAATATAGTTGCATAAACGGCTTTTTTGAAAACGAACGAAACCTCTCGTCACACGATGATATTGAATTATACATGCATGTCTCAAGCAGCGCTTTGGTTGCAGATTTTTCGGCGATTTGTGTGGCGAAGTTCACTGGATACTCATATGAAGCAGATATGTGAATCTTACACAAATAACTGCTTTTACTTTCAACTTTGACGATTAGGTTTTATTGTTATGATACTATTTCAATATTTCACTAATCTGCTGCCTTGAGTTTAATCTCGTATTTTTTTCGACACAATCGGCTTTAAAGTGAAAAAAATATTTCTTTAAAATTTTTATTGCACGTTTGGAGTTAATTGAAGACAATCTTATCGTTGCGTAAGGGGAGTAGACGAAAATACTTGGTTGTAATTACTTTCTTTTTTCGCAGTTGAGCGTCAAAATTACCATATTGTTTATCTGAAAATTTTGAGTAAATATTGCAGTATTATTGGCAATTTCTCATTAAAAAAAACTAATTAAAATGTTGCCGATAATTATGTGATCGAGGCATCCGTTGCTTGGTACATTCAAACTATGTTATAATAATTGATAATTCCCCACAAAATGTCACAGATTGTAAATTCAAGAGCTACTATCAAAATTTTTTATAGTTACGTACGTCGTCGATTATACTTTCGAACTTTCATTTTCATAATCTTTGATATTTTAGTAATAAGCATCGTCGGTTGGGCATTCAAACTGTGTTATTTTAATCGTTGATGGTTCCGTACCTAGTATCGTTAATGAATTAATGGAATTTAATGACTCCATTTTCAATCATTATGGTTAGATTTCTCTTATTCCGCATTTTATCCACATTGTAGAGGCAGGGCGGCGTTCCAACCTGCTGTGACGGTAAACAAAGCAACAGGTTCAGCATGTGTATTATCTCTAACTTGTGAGGTGTACCGCTGTGAAAAAAACTTTTGTCTCCCGTGAGGATGCGAGCGTAAAGTTTCGCTGCAAAGTTATGCGAAGAATGCTATGAAACTGTTGCACGGTCGCTCTCACCACTTGAAATTATCGCGGCTTTTTCTTCTTCGAGTTCCTTCATACGTATCTTTTAAACATGTTAGTTTCTTATGCAATGCCTATGGTAGTTCCTGGTTTGTGGAGACCGCTTCGATGACGTTCTGTGTTCTGCCTTGAGTTTTGTCACGAATATAATGAAGTGCAGACGAATTAGTTGTTCATTTATTCTAATGTTATCTCCTTCATTACTTTAATTGTCAGTGTTTCTCTGCCACCTGTTTGAGAAAGCTGCAGATTAAATGTGAAAATTTGCTTCAAAACTCTCTTGTCTCGAAGATCGAATTTTGAATTAAATTCGAGTGCATTTTGCTTTCGGTTGGTTTGGACAACTGGCACGTTTTTGTGTACGTATGAACATTTTTGCCGCAATACGAGTCACTTATATCGAGTTATTTTCCTCTCGGTGTCTAACGGATCATTTTATTGTGTAATTTTTGTATATTCATCACTTAGGCCCCCAGAAAATATGATCATGACCAATTCGAAACATTGACAAGGAAAAGTGCCGATTTAAGATTTATTGACTTTTCCTATGGTGCTAGATAGATATTTTTATCTTATAGGTTCAAGTGGTACGAAAGAAAATGTCATTTTATTGTTTGACAAGTTGTCATAATCCCATTAAATGAATTTCATATCGAACACGTACATAGCTCAATTTCAAATTCTTTCCTTTATTTACTGGTATGTTGCATGCGTGCCCTGCGCAAAAATCAGTCGATAAATGAGCTTTTTTGGATTACGAGAAAAATACAGAACAAATTTCCGTCTCCTCCGATCAATAGTTATATTAACTGAGAGTTTTATTAGTCATATATCCACTTCAACTTGCTAAGATTGTTGAATAGAACAATATTTACAACTGTGCAGTTGGGACTCTTTTTATACGTTATGTGATATAATGTAATCAAACATAATATGAGCATCGTATACAACGTAAGCATCTTATACAACGTAAGCATATAAAAAAAATCTTAAAGACGGGAAAATTTTTTCCTTTCATGCTTGAATTTATATCGGGTGGTGCTCTCAAATGTCGTTGGTCAGATTAACGACTTAAGCTGGACTTGTAAAAAAAATTGCGCTTGAACTTTCTCTTAATAGGATTACGTGCGCGTGTTGTGAATGTCCCTTGTTCTACATACCAAGTATTATTCATTTTCATTAGAAAATTATGAAGTGCTAAGATTTTTCATATTTCATGCATAATATCATCAAATAATTAAATTTTCCGCTTGGAAAATTTTAAATTTTCCGCTTGGATAATTTTAAATTTTTTGCTTGCCTCAAAGAATTGAATTTTCCGCTTTGAAAATGGCTAGATCGTTCTTATGAATGCACTCTTCAAACTCAACTCATTTATTGTGTCTTGAATTGTCCCTAAGAATATTTGAAATTAATTACTCATCGAGGTTCACTAGACCTTGATACAATCAGTGTTACTGATCCATATTACGAATTTTAGAATCCCTGTATATATTCAAACAGAAGCCTAGTCTGAATGCTTGCTTTATCTCCTTTCCCCTTGAAATAGTAAATAGGCAGGTCTGTTTACTAGTGTTCATTTCATTTCATAATTTGCTTGTTCCCGTTTTAATAACTGACAGTGGCCGTTTACTTTACTAATTGATCGTATTTGTGTTTCTAGGACTTGTGCTATGAACTAACGATATGGAGCTGGACTCCGAAACATTTTCTTTGCACGAGTTTTGGTACATACGTAATGCTGGTCAATTCATTTGAATTTTGCTTTGTATGCAATTCACTTATTAGCTTACACCTATAAAAACCGATGAACACGATTTCTAGTACAATTAAATTTCGAATGAAACAAATCTCTGTCTATTAAATCGAAAAATATTTCGCTAGGGATGGGGATTTTTATGGGCCTCTGAGAAATATTTTTTTCTTACGGAGGCCCTTAGAAAAAATATAGTTTGCTCAATTGTAAATAATCTTCTATTAAAATGTTGGTTACCAGCATGTACTTACATTTTAAGATGCTCGTCGTTTGTTCTGGTTTTAAATTATCCTTACCAGCGCACCTATATTAGGATTTACTCTTTTTGTTTTTAAAAGTGCTAGTTAGCAACGGTTCATGTTTACATATTGTAAGTTTAGTTTTTGCATCGAAGGCTGGTACAATATTTTGTGTATAAATGTAGTTGGAATCAAAATTATTGGAATCCAAATTCTAACGATTATTTTGTTTCTTCCACAGATCGTAAGTATCGCTGAGGCCGGGGCGACGTATGGTGAGAAAGGCAGGTCCTGCAGGAGCTCGATGGCAGAAACACGATAGCTGTCATCTACTAGAAATTCTTCGGTTGTTCGTACCTCACTTATATTTTATAAAATGTTATTATTCTTGTTATTGAAATTAAAATTTTCGCGTATAAATCTAAACGTATCAATTCCTTTTAACGTAACGGGTGCAGGCCCTATTAACAAAGCCTGCAGGTCTATTTGAGACATTTGGGATTCCGTCTTTCTCGGCTCAAGTATTTTGACTTTGTCAAGAACAAGTGTTTTGTTGAATTACCAATGGATTTTAAACGCTTCTACGAGTTATGATAAGAAATGAAGTAATAGTCGTAATTTGTTATAGTGGCTATCATAATATTATTAATAACTTATTGATGATTAGTCATTTATGAAAGTTCAGTGAAGGAAAAGACAAGGAGTAGCGAAGCATGTCTGCTGTGGGGATCTCGAACTATTGCTGTAACAATGTATGCTGATTTAATGTATATTGCTGATGGTTGGGTAAATGTAGGACTAAATTCTGCCGTGGATCAACTGATTAAAAGTATCCTCAAACCGACACTTCTGTGAGCATCATCAGAGAAAATGACTGTTGACAACTTAAGATCAAGAAAACTATATATTGTGGTATCCCAACAATATATTGTTTAATTGTATGCCAAAACTCAACTGTTGCATGCCACGTGGAGGAATATCAACTGATTAAAAGTATCCTCAAACCGACAGTTTCGTGAGCGGCATCAGAGAAAATGACCGTTGGCAACTTAACAAAAAAAAACTATGTTTATATTTAATTGTATCCCAAAACTCAACTGTTGCATGCCACGTTACTCGGCCTGACGCTTTATTATATTTAATTGTATCCCAAAACTCAACTGTTGCATGCCACGTTACTCGGCATGACGCTCCATTACTCCAAGAGGTGCGCGTTCCGAGCTCTCCCTTAGATCATTCCATGTTCGAGGAAGCTGTCCCACTTTTGCTGATTTTAATAGCCTTCCTTGGCGATGAGTTCCTCGAGAACTTTTAATTGTAATCTCTCTTTCGCTTTGCTGCGACAAGGAAAATATTCTCGCCGGCAATTAGAGCGAAGTTCATTAGCGACGACGCTGCGCTCACAGCCTTTCGTCGTCTTCTGGACTATGTCCTTGCGTCTCTTACATCTGTTATTCTTCGTTGTTATTGAACCATTTTTGTTCGTTTTATTCCTGTGATTCCTCGTGGAATATGTAAAGTGTGCTATATTGGTTATGCCTTTACTTTGGTCCAAGCGTTTCTTCCTATATCTTTTTTTCATTGTTGATTGTTTATATTTTGGGTTCGGACGAATTTCTTAGGAGATATAATTTTAAGTTTTAAATTGTTTGCTCGCTCATGAATTAGTTATGCCTTTACTTTGGTCCAAGCGTTTCTTCCTATATCTCTTTTCATTGTTGATTGTTTATATTTTGGCCTCGGACGAATTTCTTAGAAGATATAATTTAAAGTTTTATATTGTTTTCTCTGATATTTTTCAAGCAGTGGAATGAAAAAAAAAAATACTTTTCTATTCAATAAAAAAATATTTTTCCGTTTAAACTTGCGGAAAAAATCCGAAAGTTCTCCAATTTTATTGAATATCGACCTGACACTTTGACGAATCGCAATTTTTTCAGGCTCAATTTTACATTTTATCTTACTATCAGTACATTAAGCTGACATTCGTTCATATGTTACGAAAATGACGAATTTTCCAAATTCAAATGGCTTTCTGATGAAGCTACATTTCTGGTTCTTGTATTTCAACATTATTAGTGTTCATATCGAGCTCTTGATCATTCGGTTCAATTTTGGAATCTTGGTGATACAGGGTTAAAACTTCTTGCCAATTGTTTATTTTGCCTCAAATTCAAAGCATGCCTAATGCTACTGGATTACGATCTCTCTGTGATAATAATTTCTGGTCGCGAGCACTTCAGTTCGCCACCTCTTTTTTATCCCACTTAATTAAATAGCGATGAGAGCGCCGCCCAAGACGATTTTATCAGGTCAACGAATCAGTGCAGGTCGGCAGCCGCGCTCATGCCTTAACCCAGGGAAAATTTACAGACGCGGCAGCTTCTGATTTGGGTTACCCGAAGCTGGGGCGACTCTAAATTTTGTTAGGGCTGATTTGCTCACCAAAAATCGTCCCTTAACTCGATGAACATTCGCTCCTGACTCGTCCGCTCCCACCTAAAATTTACAGAAGTTAAATTGAAAAATTTCAATTACAGAAGTTAATTGGAGTGCAGGGCTTATTGTAGTAGGACTTGTGTGGTGGCTTTAGCAAAAGTTTGCATTGTATTAATTAAGTAGAAGCTGACGTTGGGAGTCGCTCGTCTTAACGGTTCAGGCCTAGATTGTCATGATTTTTTTTTGGAAATATTAGATTACTTCTAATTATTTCTGGTGTTATGGTGCCGCTAACTTTGAGGTCGCTGTAAGAACATTCTTTAAAAATCGTATATTTATGCTAAATGATCTCGCCAACATCCATGTTTGTGGGACTTTTGTTGCCACCATTGCATTTCTGCGCGTCGTTGATCTCTCGCTTTGCTGAATATATTTGTCGTGAGCTGCATTTAATCCAAATGCCTATTAATTTTTGCTTTCAGTCAATGACTTTTATCGAATAAGATAAGCAGAAATATTTAATGTGAATATGAAAAGCTTCATATGTAGTATACTTCAGAATTAAGAGTCCCACGATTGAAGCATCCACCATCCTTGCACCATGAACATTCTTGGTATCAATTTATCTTGTACTCGAGCCGAGTCTTCTTCATCTTAATCCGCGATGATTTAATCTCTTTATTTTTTGTGCTCCATATTTTCTTTCGTGGTTTGGTGCCGTTTAGTTGCTCCTCGCTCCCGCCACAGAGAAAAAAAACACCAAGCGCATCGTGTCGCTACAGGCGATTGCTGTAAAAACCTTCCTCAATCTGCGGTCCGTGAAAGAATGAGCTCTGCTCGAGCTCGTCTCAAAACAAAAGCTGGTTGCTGTTGTAGTAAAAAATGGGGGGCCACCCCCGGGTTTTACCCCGCGTCTTTCGCGTATTGATACTTGTATCCTTACAACTTTATACTTAGTACCGGCGAAACGTAGACGGAGGTGAAATGTTTACTTTTTGTGTCATTTCTCGGCAACATTTATTGTAGTTTATTGTAGTTTATTGTAGTTTATTGTAGTTTATTGATATTGATATTAAAATGTAGGGGGCACTGGGATATTCTGGTTCCTCTTAAACTTCAAGATTGGCTCCTAATTCGATCAGCGAGCACAATTGTGCGCTGCAGTGGCGGCACTAAGAGAAACTGTGTTTGCATATGCAGTTTGTACCACTTCTTGTCATTGGCTCGAAACACACGAGTACGTTCAACCACATTCCAAGAGCACCCAACAAATGCTGGTCGTTGATTCCCATCTCTGGTAAAACAAAATTCACTTGTCGAATCCCTTTTTTGAAAACACGAACAAGCTTTTGTATGGATCTATGGGGAATTAAATTTACCATTTTCCCCAGAGTCGTCTACAGCGCTGGCAACAATTCCTGACGGATTGTTGGTATCCGTTCATTTGCGTATTGTACGAGCTCCGGTGATTCGGTACCCTATTTCGTCGGAAATTTGATTTAATAGCGACATATTCTTTCTTTTTTTATTGGTTGTTCCACGGGTATTTTCAACTACAGAAAAGTCCCAACATGCTTGCTTATCGTATTTGTTTTTCCAAGTTTAACAATAAAAAAGAACCACCTAAAGAACTAAACCAAAAAATATTGTCACGTTATCGGCTTGAAGGTTCCAATGATGTTTTATTTCTGAATCTTCTCTATCATCGGTGCCTTAAAGTCTATGTACGAGATACGTAATGCGTTCGATTATCGCCCGATAACGCTGTATCCCTGGTATTTTCTTCCGGTTGCATCTCTCTACGAAGACTTCGAATGAGCTCATGAATAAATTTGGTGTACAGCGCCAAATTGCTGTACTACGTCCTAGTGAGCCCACTACAATATAGCCTAGCTTCGCGACCACG